AAAAAACGATATGTTACCTTCGCATTTCGGCTTGTTGTCGTTTAGCTTGTAATAGTTTAATATCCAAATCATGCGGTCTACTGCGAGAAGAGCTAACTCTATTTATTCCACCAATATCACCATTTTCCATCAAATGTTCATATGTTTGTTTTAGCTTGATCGATCCACTACGAACACTTCTTCTAATTGACCTTATTATATGAATAGATTGATTGATATAAAAAAATATATTTTTTTAATTTTCCTTACTTCAAGTATTACTATTATGTAAATTTAAGATTTTACTTTTTTTGATCAAAACGAAGTTGTTTAGCGCTACTGACAGTGCCTTGTGGTTTTAGAAGACCTTTTCCTGGTACTGGTATCATAGCAGAATCACCTAATAATAATCTTTGATTGTTGGAATCGCTAAAAATTTATATATGCATATATATTGTAATCTTATGAATTATTATAAATATTATGTTTTATAAATATTCACTTTATAATATAAATAACAGCTGCTTTTTTAAGACTGGTAACAACATTTCTTACTTTAGGTGGATTATTTAAAATTTTTACTGGACGTTGTTTTCTATATATCATTTTTGAATCAAAAGTTTCATTTATTTTTTTTACTCCTTCATTTTCTTCATTTTCCATTTCAAATACAAATTGTCTCATGAAACTTTCACGAACCTAAATTATATATACAAAAAAATATCTATATTTTAGTCTTTATAATACACACACATATATATATATGGATAATGGATAATACTTACTTTTGGAAGATTAAAATCTGATGGTACTTTATGTAAACATGTCATTTGAGGACTGTCAGGAAATTTCTCAAATATTCGTAATCTGAATGGTAAAGTTTCTTTTATTTCCGCACTTTGTTCACGGAATTTTAATTGTTTCAGTTTCTTAATGTCTTCATCCAATTCAAGATTATCCAAAATTACAGCGACAAATAAACTTAACACAATCTTAAAAAATCATTAAAATTATCTTTTAATTATCTTTTTAATTATAACAAATTATAAAATAAATATCTAAATATATTTTTACCAATGTAACAAAAAGATGGTATAAAATAAAATACATAGCAACAAGAGGAGCCATTGTTTCATGTGTTCTTAACATTGTTTCATCCATAACATCTACCCAAGCTTCTTGTGTTAAGATTTGAAACATGGACATAAATGCCTAAAAAAGTTCTTTATCAATATAATTTAATTATTTGTAAATCTGTTTATATTTCCTTTACCTCTGGAAATGTTTCAAATTTTGTGAAATTCCGAAGAAAACAAAACAATTGCATAGAAATACTTGATGATATGACTAATAGACACATAGTAAAAATAATGAGGCTCCCTAATTTTTTCCCAGGACCAAATATTTTGTATACAAAATCTTCAAGCATTGGTGATGCCTTGATAAGTCTAACTACTCTAAGAACCTAATTGTAAAACAATATTAATTTATTAAATATTAATTTATCATTATACTTCAAATTAATTTTCTCTATTATTATATATTTCTAATTGATTTTTTTTATCAATTGTATATTTTCAATTAATTTTATTTATAATTAAATTTATTTTAAAACTGAATAAGAATGAATATAAAAACCTGAAAATATGTGAATCCAGAAAGATAGAAAAACGGAATAATATGTATGGTTGTACCAATTGCTAATAACAATTCAAATTTATGAATCGAATGCTTATAATAACTGCGAAATCCGAGACACCAGATTTTAAACAATGTTTCCAGATCTAAAAATATTGTAAATGCAATCTCAGCATAATAATAATTATCATAATATGTATGCCTTGGCTTCTCATCATGTTTGAAGCTCATAGTCGCAGTGGTAATACCATTTGCCAAAATTATAAACATTACCACCATACGAAAATGAGGAGACCTGAGAATAGCGTGACATATAGGAGAAGCTAAACCTCCGTGTTTATTTTCATCTAAGGTTACTAATTTCCAACCATTGTCATCGCCAGTTAATATCTAAAAAAGAATATATATACAAGATATAAAATATCTTTGAAAAGTTAATTTTAAAAATCGATACAAATATAAAAGTTGTCTATAAAAATTCAATTAAAATTATTTATTAACTTATAAATAATTGAAATTTATATTAGATAAAAAGAAAATAAAATAAGACCATTTTGTCTATATCATCTTCGCAGTACATTTTCGGTTTGTTTTATCTAATACGAATTTAAATTATATTTATATTATTATAACTTAATAAGTAGATCTCAACCGACATTTTTGTATATTAATTTTTATTTGTTTATGTTTGTTTTTGCCTTTAAAATATTGTTTTGTCTTTTTAAAAATATTTCATGAATATATTAACAAACTGTATATGATAAAGATTATGATAAAGATTATATATAAAAATAAAAATTATATATATATATATATATATATATATATATATGTATATTTTTATATACATTCAATTATTTTATTAACAAATTAATTATTATATATAAAATTATTACTAACTTGTGATGCTGTGTTATTGCTGATATGTCCTCTAACACCCCACATTTGTTGAAACTGAACTCGAATTTCATTAAAAGTTTCTGTGATTACTGCTATGAAAACATTCTTTACGAGCCATGCTAAGAAAAATATCATTGTACTAAAATAAAGAACTGCACGCCAAGCAGGTAAACTATCTATTGCACGATACATAATAAAAACCCATCCTTCTTGTGATGCAGCTTGATAGACTGTAAAAATACTCGTAGCTGAAAAATAAAATTATTTATCTAAAATATTTTAATAAAAATTATTTGAAAAGTAAATTGTTTGTAAAGAATATAGTATATATAGTAAATATTTTATATTATATAAAATTTATTACTACCAAATTCATCAAATCCATTGAAACCCATAATATATTTTGATAACTGAAGTTTCATACAAGTCATTCCCTCTGGACATTGGTATCCTGATTCAGGATCAGTAGAACAAAAAGTATCAGGAATGGCTAAACTATTTATAGTTATATTTGTTGGATCTGTAGTAGTATTAAGAACACAATGATTTTTTAATTCACCAAAAAACTGAACGCCTAAAAGACCATAAAGAGACATGAAGAAAAGAAAGAAAAGAGTTACATTATATATCTGTTGACTTGAACGCCTGAAATTATGAATAATATAAATATATCAAATTTAAAATAAATTTTTTATATTTTTAAAATATTTACTTGAAAATTTGATTAATTCTAGCTTTTGGCATAGAAAACTTTAGAAAAACTCGTAAAAAACGTATCATAATTAATGGACGTGGCGCGCGTAATATTGAGACATAACTAAGTTCTAAAGCGAAACCTAGCATCTCAAACATTTGTAATATTATAGATAACCAAAGAAAGATGACCATGCTTCCATCAAATTGGCACCAATGATCTTTTAAATAAGATTTATCCCTCTGTAACTAAAAGATTGTCAGTTTATGTAAATTGTTATGTAATAATATTATATGAATTACCTTCAATATACCCCTTATATGCATTTTGGCAATCATTTCAGCAGTAAACAAAAATGTAATAATTAAGTCACAAATAAAGGTAAAATACTGAAGTGGTGGAACTTTTTCAAAAGTTTTTGGAGTATTCAAGCAAACAGAAGCTAAAGATACCAGAGCACAAGACCTCATCAGCCTTCTCACCCATAACTATAATAATTAAGTAATTACTTAGCAATTAATAAATATGCTACTTATATAATAAGAGATAAATTTTTCATATAAATAAAAGTGAATATATTTTTACAAATTACCTTATTTACCCATTCTATATCAGCGCTCTCATTGAGGGACTCCTCTGGGCCATAATCAGCCAAGACAGGTTCCCCTTTGAGGCTCTGCTTACGCCCCAACATCATAATAGGAATTATGTTCGCAATGGTGAAGCCTAATATAAAATTGTTATAAATATTTTAATATATGAAATCAATATACATTGATGAAAAGAAATTTGAATATTGGATATATAATAATATAATTCTTTAATTTATTTTATAAATAATAATTATTTGAATATTGTTTTTTATAATAATAATTTTCAATTGTAAAATAATAACAAAATAACTATTATATTATTGAAAATTAAAATACAATATATATTAAATACGAATAATATAATAATGAAAATTACAAAATTATTATAATCTGATTAAAAATATGTATAAGGATTTATAATATAATTAATAATTTTTAATTATTATAATTATTATATTTAATAAAAATAATATAAATAATTATTATTACCTTTTTTTAATAATTTGAGCGATAATGAAAATTGCCTTTATGGCAATTAATATACATTACATTTCAACATAAAACAATATAAAACAAGTTTCATATTGAAATTATATAATAAACATCTTAGTAATAACAAATTGGCGGCATTTTGGTAAATATTTTTTGGTTCTGGTATATAGTTCTGAGTTCCAAGTTTTCTAGTAATAGTAAAAATTCGAAATGAGCATGAGCAGTGTTGTTACTTTACACACAAATCAATATATCAAATGAATGAAAGCGCGTGAATCGATGATAACTAATTTCACAAAATTTTTATTTCGAGACATAATATTGAAATAATGTATATTATTTCAATATTAGAACTACTAATTAGTAAATATCTATTATACATACTAATAAATGATTCTAATTAATGAAATAATGAAATAATAAAAAAAAATTCATAAAAATAAGTAGATATATATTATTTCTAATATTAATATTAATATCTAATTTCTAATATTTTTATTTCAAAAAACAATATTAATTTTGCTAAAAATGTAAATAATCGTAAAATAAAAAATATGAAATCTATCACTTTAATGGGTTTGGTTGTTTTAATGTTAAAATATTTGAATAAAAATAGCCATTACATATTAATAAATATAATATTTATATTTCAAAAAAATTCTATTTAATATATTGAATTAGTATAACATATAATATATATATAAAATATTTTTATTTTCTTAATTTGTTAATGTTTTTACTTATTAAATATAATACTATTGTTAATGATATATTGATTATATTTCTTTTATGTTCTTTTCTGCTGAAGTCATCATTTTTGAGAATTCAGAGTTTGAATTGGATAAAAGTACAGATGGTGCATCAAATTCAATTATTTGTCCATTCTTCATAACAATAATGCGATCACATGAAATAACAGTCTTCAAACGATGAGCTATGGTTAATATTGTAGTATTTGAAAATTCATTTTGAATTGTATTTTGTACAGCAATTTCAGTTTCTGGATCAACAGCAGCTGTTGCTTCATCTAATATTAATATCTAATCGAATAATAGATTATTAAATTAAATAAGTTTATTATTAATTAATACAAAGAATTATTATTAATATCATACTTTGGCACTACGCAAAAGTGCTCTTGATAGACAAAATAATTGTCGCTCGCCTACACTTAAATTTTTTCCTTCAACTTCAATAGGTGCATCCAGTTGACCAGGCATAACTTGTACTTTTTCTTTCAATTGAGTTTTTTCTAAAACACTCCAGATTTCAGAATCACTAAATTGTTTAAAAGGATCTAAATTTGATCTATAATATAATTATAAATATTAAAAATAAATAAATTTTTAATATATTTGTTTTTTAATTTATATATTTATATATATACCGTATAGTTCCATTAAATAAGACAGGATCCTGAGGAATTATAGATAATTTAGTTCTTAATAACTTTAATTTTATTTTTGCTATATCTATACCATCAATTTTAATTTTTCCAGCAGAAATTTCAATTAATCGAAATAAAGCAATGATTAAAGAACTTTTTCCTGCTCCTGTTCGTCCTACAATACCTAAAATTCATTATATCATTAAAAAAAAATCATATAATTTTGTGTAAATTTTATCAACTTATTACTACCTATATGTTCACCAGGTTTAATAATAAATGAAATATTATTTAATGCAGGTGGTAAACCTTTTCTGTATTTTAATTCGACTTTACAAAATTCTAATTCTCCATCAATAGGCCATTGATCTGGAAGATCTATGAGATGTTGCTCAGAAATTTCTTCTTTTTGTAAAGTCTATAATATGTTATATACATATATACATATATATGATTTAATTATCAGTTATAACAAATATACATGTATGTAATCATTTTATTTACCTTCAAGTAATAGCTTATTCTTTCAACACTTATAAAACGAGTTTCTATTTCCGCCATTAATCTTACAGTGTATTGAAAAATGCCAGTCATTTGCATAGCATATGCCATTGCTAAACCAGCAAGGGCTGGAGATATTTGGTTTTTAAGTGCAATTACAAGAAAAGTAGTAATAGAAGAAGAAGCAATTGCCAAAATATCAAGTCTTACAGCAGACCATCTCATAATAGATTGACATAAATAAAGGCACAAATTGTTTAAGTCAAATAATTCCTCGAATCTAAAATATAATAATTAATTTATTATAATAATAATAATTATAATTATATTAATTATAATAATAATATTATACAAGATATCTTCAATAATTCTATTACAAAATAATATCTTAGTTAAATACTTAAAAAATTATTTAATTCAAAAAAATACATATTATGGTATAATTCAAAAAAATACATAAATAATTTTTCAACATTATATTTTTTGATACTTTAAAATCATCAAAAATTTTTTTCATAAAAATAAATCTGATTCACCTTAAGCTACAATAAAATAATTTTGAAATTAATAAAGGAAAATTTATTGTAATAAATGTTCAAAATTATTTTCATTCATTTTTCATTGAATATTTATTATTATAATTTATAATTTAATTGTAAATTATCTTTTTGTAATATTTCATCCTATTATTAGCATCCAGCAAACATGATTTTTTAAAAATCTCCAAAAATATAAGACAAAATTTTCAAATAAAATTTGATTTAAATCAATACAAATTGCAAATTATTTCCAGAAAATGTTTTTTTCTATAAATTATTTTCTATAAATTTTTTCTATAAAGTTATTTTGATTTTTTTTAAATATATAATGTATTTTTTATTTTATAGTATTATAGTGTTGACTAATATCAAATTCAACAATGTATAATATTATAATTTTTTGATTTTGAGCTTCATAAATTTGAAATTCATTGATTTCTAGGATATTAGCATGATTCTTATGAAATTTGATTTAATAGGGTGTTATATCACATGTTTACAATAATGTTTGTATTTTCAATAAATTGCAATAATAAAAATTACTAAAGTATTTTTTATTTAATAGAAGATGAGAATCGTTTTATCTTTTTTATGTGAAATTATACACTAAATTTTTTGTTTATGTATTTATATTTATAATAAATCTTTAAATGTGTCTATTTTTCGATAGTTTTCTTTTGAATAAATTTTAATGTGTAGCAACAAATAAACTTTGTAAATATACTTTTCTACATACATATAATAATTTAATGTAATAATAATTTAACATGATTGAAGATCTTGTATACAGTTTGTGGGTTTCTCATAAATAAATAATAAATAAATAACTATAAACATTTTCATAAGAAAAATTTAATGGAGATAAGTTTGGTGACCAGCAACATGATCTATTTAATGATAACATGATATATGTATCAATTTATCAATCAAATAATTTGATAATTTTTATTATTGCAATTTGTTAATGGCACAAATATTATCTAAAAATATCTGATCTAACATTTTATTAAATCAACTTTCATATTTTAATGTTCCTATGTATCAATAAATTTAAGATTTATAAACTTAAAATTAGTATTATAGATACTATTATAGATAAGTTTTGATATCAGCAACAATATTTTGAAATCAAAAATACATCATATTATTTAAAAAAAATTAAGATGATTTTCATATTTTATAGAAATAAATTTTTTTTTTTTAAATTTTAAGTCTTGCAATTTGTAACCAATTCAAAAAAGAATTTTTTTTGAAACATCTTTTTTTTTATATTGAAAAAATTTTACTAAACATAAAAAAATATTAATGATTGTACTATAAAAAATATTAATGATTTTAAAATCTCAAAAAATATCTTCAAAAAAAAAAAATGATTCTCATCATAATATGTTTTTTCAAAAAATGTATTCCTTGACTATTTTCACATATTATAAACAATAATAAAATATTGTTTTGTAATATTGTTATTGAAATACTTTATAATAATGTACAGTAATATATCATTTTAAGAAATATACTTGTTTACAAATGCTTTTTCCTTTTGGAATGCGTGAATAGTATTTAGACCATGAATGGTAGTGGTAATGAAACTTAAAACAGGAGATCGTGAAATATTTTCCATTCGCTTAAAATCTCTCATTGCTACTCTGAAAAAATTTTTCTGTTGCTACATTTGATATAATGAAAAATATTATTGAAGAATATTGTAAATTTTATTTTAAAATATCAAAATGTCTCACCTAAAGATTCTGCTAATATAAAAAAAAATAGCAGCAAGAATAATTAATGGTAAACAATACCAGGGTAATATTGCACATATAAACACAATTGCAAAACTGCAAGTAATTATATTTTGTATCATGTTTTCTACAGAAATTGGTATATAATTGTCCACTACAATAAAAAAGTAATTAAGAAATATAATTATTTTGATATTTAATGTTAGATTTGCATTATTGTTCACAAATAATTTGCAAATAATTTACAAACAATTTTTTAAAAATTGTTCATTTCTCGCAAAAATATATAAACAATCAGCATGACAACAATAGTTTGTGATGCATAACAGTTCGTGAACAGCATTACAGTTCAAAAAACAATATATCCTACCTTCATCAATATCTCGACTAAAAATATTTTGTATTCTTCCAATAGGAGTTGTTTCAAAAAATGTTACTGTTGTTTTAATTATTTTCTTAAAAACTTTGTTATGTAATGTCGTCGAAGCATTTATTGTAGCATACATAATAACCAAACCACGCAATAAACTTGTTAATAAAATTATTCCAATGCAACCAATATAAATATTTTGATAATATGAATAATTAGGATTATCATTTAAATTATTTGATGATATAGTTTTATTATTATTGGAATCAATAATATTCTTAAATGAGAAAGATTAATGAAAAAAAAAAAAAAAGAAAAAATATAAAATATACAATTAAAATAAGAGAAAATATTTACCCCATTACCAGCTTTAATCCATGTAGCTAACCACCAAGAACTAAATGCTAAACTTCCAATGTTTAAAAAGAGTGTCAAAAATACCAAAATCGCTATAAGATAACCACCCGCAGATTTTATGTATATATGATAAATATATGATTTTACAGTACCCATTCCCATCTTTTCTTGAGTAGTAAGGATTGCTTCTAATATAAATAATAATATAAATAATATAAATAATAAACTCAAATGTAACAAATTGATTGATAATTGATAATTTAAATTGATAATTTAAATTTTTTCAATACACACCTTTTTCATGTATTTTTGTTGATGCTTCAATATATTCATCATTATCTTCTGTATTACAAGTTATTATTTGTCTCTTTGAATCATTATTAGAATCTTTATTTGTTTGAATCGGTATCACAATTTCACTAAATAAATTGAATATAATTATTAATATTATAATTATTCAAAAGCTTTTTAAAAATTATTTGTAAGATAAATACTATTTTGAATCGATATCCGTTTTTAATAATGCACTATCTACCATTGTAGCATATTCTTTATTTAATTGCATCAATTCATCATGTGTACCTTGTTCTACAATTCTTCCTTTATGCATTACAAGTATTTGATCACAGTGTTTTAAAAACTATAATTAGTAAAATATAATGTTAAGCATAATTATATATACGAATTATTTGAATTTAAGAATATAATTTATTGAAAATATACTTGAATTTGATGTGTTACAAATAATACGCATTTATTTTTGAGCGCTCCGAGAATTAAATTTTTAAAAATATAAGAACCCACATGTGTATCTACTGCACTTAATGGATCATCCAAAAAATATATATCTCTTAAAAAAAAAACAAATGATCTTTTTAAAAAATATAATTGTATATTTTAGAAATTAAGAGTTTTAACAGTAAAAAAAAAAAAAACATACCGATTAGCATAAAGTGCTCTAGCAAGAGCAATTCTTTGCTTTTGTCCTCCTGAAAGATTTATACCTCTTTCTCCTATCTCAGTTTCGTCTCCACCCGGTAACATATTCAAATCTTCTTTTAAACTGCATACTGTTAATGTTTGATAATATCGTTTAGCATCAAATTGATTTCCAAACAATATATTTTCTTTGAAAGTTGCATTAACAATCCACGCCTGTTGACTAACATAAGCGCAAGAACCTTCTCTCAAAATACAACCGTTTATCATTTTTAATTGTCCTAAAGCAGCAAGCAAAAGACTAGATTTTCCACTTCCTACATGTCCACAAATTCCTATTAATCCACCTTTTGCTACTCCGAACTTAATAGTTGAAAGTACTTCAACATATTCAGTTTCTTGGGACAATTCATTAAGTTTTTCCAATTCAACTTTGCTTTTTAAATATGATACAATTTTTCTGAAAAAAAATACAAAAATTTAAAAAAATAAAAAAATAGAAGTAAAAAATTTATTAATTTCAAAGAACTTACTTTTTTTTTCTAATATTTTTTAATTTTTTAGCGCACAAAGTAGAATTTTCGTAAACGAATGTACCGTTAGCAATGGCTACAGCTTGTGATTTTACAATTGGTTTTGATATATGGCATGTGTACTCTTCTAAAAGTAATATATTCTGCACAAATATCACTAATTATTGAAAATGATCATCGAAATTTTAATATTTATTCACGATTAACTTGAAAATAGAATGATTATAAGCAAAGCCAAATCAACTTTAATAACAATATTCATTATTTATTAATAATTCATTATTTATTAATAATTCATTATTAATTAATAAATATTAAATTTATAATACTATATAAAACTATATAATATTATATAAAAATATCATATAAAAAGTTTTTAAAAGTGAAAATTATGATTTAAAACATGCAATGCATAACATAAAAGTGCAGTGAATTATTACAGAATATTCAAATGCATTATCTATAAAATGATCAATTAAGCATTAAATAAACTATACTACAAAGCAGTATATATATATGTATATATATTTTTATAATATATATTAATATATATAATATAATATATAATATAATAATATATAATAATATATATTATAACATATATACTATTATACAATGAAAGCGAATTAAACTTTCTCTGTAATGTAAATGTTATTTGCAAAATAACCAATTATAATCTTTATATTAATATAATTAGTAATTATTATTAACAGATAAATGCAAAAGTAAACACCTGCAATCTGTTGAATGTTATATTTGATTCGGCAATATTAACTAATGCCACTTGTAGAAATAAAAATGAAGAACGAAATTGAGAATTGAGCAATGTTACAAAAGGAAATACCTGGAAAAAGTAATATATTATAATTTAATATGTGAATTTATTATATAGTACCGCAAACTTATTATGTTATGTTAAATTATTCCCAACATTTGCATTTTAATCATACATAGCTTTGTTTATCTTTCTAATATATATATATATATAACAAGGAGGAGTAAAAGAAAAAGCAATTATTTGTATTTATTTATATATGTGCCACACTTTCCCCTTTATGTTAGCAAACTTTTGACTATTTACTATTGACATATAAACATAATATTATTAATAAAAAAATTCTCGCATATATTATATCAATTATATCAATTTTTTATTTAATTACTTTAATAAATATATAAGATATTCTTTTTGATATAAAGTACATGAGAATTTGTTTGTTAATAATAAATGAAAAATACTCATCCATTAAACATTTAAAATGTGAGAGATTTTATAATTAAATTATAATTTAAATGTAAATTTTGGGAGACCTTAATTCTTCTAAGAGCAATATGAGCGTCGATAAAATGTCGTGTAGAATCCTTAAGGGAAGAGAGTGCCATTCTCAACATATTTCCGAAAAATGTTGTAATTGGAAAAGCCTGCAATATTCATCTTATTAAATGCAACATTTGTTTCATAACTAATACATAAATATGCTAAACATAAATATGCAGAATTTTATACTATTTTTTACTATTTAATTAATAATGTTTTTGAATTGTAGCGATTTATATATTTGGAATTACTTATTCTAATATTCCTCCAAAGAAATCTAAATAAATATAAATCTACATAATATGAATATTCATTTTCAATTTGCAAAATAATGTATACAGATACAAATAATATAATGTATACCTGAGAAGCAATTAAATTACTGCCTGAAGATAAATGTGCTAGAAATGTAACAATTGCAGATATTGCAGGTATAGCTGGTGTTAAAGAAATAGCAAGACTTTGGAAATATACAGTTTTATGCAACCAATATTCCTCTTTCTTTCGTATATCTGTAAAATTAATTAATATACAAAAAGATAATGAAAATTACAATTATAATGCTATCATAATAATTTATTTTATTTAGCAAAATAGTAATTATACCAAGGAGTTTATGACTAAAATATTTCTCCCATGAATACATTTTAATTAATTTTATACATTCTAAGATTTCATTCATTAATTTTACACGTGTATCTGTAATAATAACTGTCTTCGAACGAAAATATCCAACTGCACGGGATAGAAGATACTGTTAAGAAAATTAATATTACATGGAATATTATATGGTGAAATTTTAAGTATAAAAATATAGAATTATGAAAATATTGAAATTTTAAATATAAAAAATTGTATAAAGAAATATTTCTCAATAATTTCTCACCTGGCAAGGATAAAATACAAGAAAAGTAAATATTCCATAAAGAGCTATTGGACTAAATACCCAAAGTATATAAATTATACCACAAATAATAATTATTGGACCACTAAATATCATAGGTCCATAAATGACAACATCAAAAAGTCTTTGACTATCATTTGTAAATAAATTAATCATCTAAAAAATTATAAAACACTGATAGATGTGAAATTAAATCTAATGTGATAATATTACTTATTTGAAATCTTACTTCTCCTGTACTTTTATTTCCAAGATTATTCAGTCTAATAATTTTTTTATATAAAAGAGTTGTACAAGCACTCTTTAATCTTAGTGCTGTTCTAATATTAGTATTCCAAGTCCAGTTAAAAAATATTAATCGCAAAAAATCACAACATGTTAATAACAGTGCCCATTTTATACCTATCCATATATTTTCTTCTGGTGATTGAATATATTCTAGTACTTTTTTCATTAATATCATCTATAATAGAAACATAAAATTTTATATAGCAATACATATAAAATTAAATTTATAAAACTAAAGAAATGATAATGATTTTATAAACTATAAAACATACAGAACTAATAAATCCACAAATTGTAGAACAACTTAATAAAAATCCAGCTATACATATTCTTGTTCTCACAAATTTCCAAGCTACATTTGGAAATGATGCTAAATATGAACCATGTTTATTTAATTCTTCTTGCCAAAGTATTTCTAATCTAAATATAAAATATATTTTAAATATCATAAAAAAAAGTTATATATTATTATTATTATTATATTGTTATTATATCAATATTATATAATATTATATTATTATTATATTGTAATTATATTCAAATTGATGCAGTTACCTATGAGTATTATATTTAGAACTTTCATAAGTAGAAATATATGGAATATTCGTAAAGTCAATACCATTTTTGTATGCTTTCCATATATATGGTGTTAACCATGTATAAAAAATATATGAAAACAAACCAGCATTATCTGCTGGCATACATTCCTTGTTTCTAAAATATATACAGTAAAATATTATTTAAAAATTTTTTAAAAAACAATTTTTTTTTATTATTATTTAAAAACAATTTTTTTTACTTTAAAATTAAATATATATTACACACTTATTTTTGCGACGTATTGGTATAAGATTTCTTAAAGCTGGATTGTATCGTTTTATATTTGTTCCTTTAATATATTCTATTGGTATTTTTGGCGAATGTGAATATGTATTAGGAAGCAAAAAATGTTGTCTTTCATTGGTATCATTGTATCTAAAAATGTATGAAACAATATTAATTTTCTATTTCAATAAAAATAAAAAAAATTATATATTTATACCTTTCACTATTAATATATTGAGTCTCATTGTCTTCACTTTGATTATTAAGAATATCTGTTTTATTTTCCATTGTGTTATATGTTATTTCCTACTTCACATTTTATTGCTTTAAAAGTTTTAAATTAATCAATTAAATATATGTAAATAAATAAAATAAACTTAAATCATATAACAAAAATGATAAAATATTCAAAAAACAAAAAATAATTAATTAATAAATACAAAATAAAAATTTTGTAATTTTATATTATATATTATTAAATAATATTTTATAAAATTATCAAGAACTAATTCAATAGTATGTTATTATTATTTAAATAATAATTAAATAATTATATAAAATAAAATCTTAAATAATTATTCTACTAATTCTAATAATTTTATTATTAATTTAAAGTAAAATTAGTAATTTTGTTATTTAGATAAAAATAAAAATGAATAAATTTAATAAATGTTAACTTTACACGTATACAATTCTAATAGATAAAATACTTATAAATGAATATTACTGATGTTATAAAGTTGATAAAAAAATTTAATCTTTTCTTATCAATAAGTAAAGCTGAACAAATATTTGATTTTAAATTTGAGCGTGAAATTCTGCCCTCTGTAGTTTAACGAGTTTTGTATAAGTTACTTGACATAATTCTTAATTAACCTGACTTTAAAAGTTTTATTGAATGAATACAAAATATGATAATATTTTTATTTCGCAATATTACAAATTTTATTTTATAAAATAATTAGAAATGCAGAAACACGGACGATATTTATATAAATACAAATCAAATATAGATATTAAAATAACAATTATAAAATGTTATTTTTTTATATTACAATACTTTTATTAGTAACATTAAAAATATTGAATTTATATTTAAATAAATGAACTATAAAATTTATTTTACGTATCGAAACATGTAAATGATTTTTTATACTTACATTGAAAAATTAATATTAAATTTCTCGAATTATATCTTATCTTTATAAAATCTGCTGTTATCTTTATAAAATCACGCATTCAAACTATCATTAACATAATTATTTTTATTAATTATAATAAATTATTCTTTTCTGCATAATAATTCATAATTGACAATATAATTGTTTCATAAAACTAAATTACTTTAATATTCCCTACTAGCATATATACACACATATTACATATTCATTAATAAATTCCAATTGCTCGATATGGTGTCGCATCTTAAATGCATACACTAGTTCTTTGTACTATTTATCATTTATATATATGTATATTTATGATATTGATTATAAGCAAAATTATTTATTTATTTATGATTTAGTTACAATTTAAAGATATATATTTTATCTATAAAAATTTATATATTCAAAAAATAAAAATTTTATCTTTTAAAAAAAAATTATATTTTAAATTTAATAAAAAGTTTATTATTAAGCATTATTATACTGATAATATATAATATATCATATTATGATATAAATGAAAGCCTTCAATTATAAAGATAATATTTATTATGCTTTATAAAACAGGTCATTATTTATAAACAGGTCAATATTAATCATATGTTATTCTTATTAATTTCATCCACAAGATAAATTTGTAAGGGTACACTTTATTATTATTATATGGAATATAAACTTCTTTCACTTACAAAAGATAAGATCTTAAACAAATACAATCATTTTTTGTTTTGTTTACATTTTCATTATAAAGAAAAATAAGAAATATTTTTCTTTATAATGAAATGTTGTTTAATGAAAAAAATAATATATATATATATATATATATATATATACACATAATATTTTTTCTCCTTTTTAACTTAATATATTTTTTAGAAAAATTCGACTTAAACTTAATATATTTTTAGAAAAATTAAACATGAGTATAATTGATTCAAAAACATATTTTTCATAAATGCTAAAAATAGAATAAATTCAATAATATTTGATATTTGCTGGATTTTTTAAATATACTTTTTCTTTTTTTCCAAAATATTATATGAATATTATTAAAAATTTTATAGTCGAAATATTTTGCATATCACTTAGAATAGTTAAATATAATGTAATAGTTAGTTTTGTTTAAAAGAATTAACACAAACTATATATAACTTATGTTATTAATATGAATTATTATTTAGATAAATATATTACAATATGATAAATCGTAATTGTTGAATGTCATTTCCATTTCAATATGAACTATCTATCTTTATGATTGTAAACATTACTTCTAATTTTAATAATAATTTAATGCAGCTATTTATTATATAATTTATTAATGTGCTTATCCTGCAATATTAGAATTTGGAACACTTTTGTGAGATCTTAATAAAATAGCGAATGTACAATGTAAACTGGAGTATAATATCAATATTAATAACAATAAGAAAAATAAAAAAATATGAAATAATTTTTTTGACTTGAATTTTTCTGACTTAAGAAAATTATGCTGATTTTAAAAAATATAATTTACTTTTTATGATTGTTTAAATTTATAATAGAAATAGAAATTACACAATTTAAGATTATAATTTATAATATATAAAGTTCAATATTTTTATTGAACATAAATGAAAATGAAAAAAAAAGATGAAACAATTATAATGAATTCTGATCAATGAAAATTGACCATAAAAAAATATTTGACTAATGTTATTACCAGTAATATTATATTAATATTAGAAAATAAAACATAAACTTATGTAATTTTTAAAATATAATGAAACAATAGTAATCAATTCTTGATTGAATGCGAAAACGAAATTTTACTGTAATTATAATTCAGTATATTAAATATTTGATTTACGAAATGTTTTATCGTCGATAGCGTAGAAAACGCGACATCCGGCCTCAAAAACTGTTATAATTACTTCCTCCTAATTGAGAGCTGAAGCCCCTATTTGGAGAATATCCTGGCCTGAAGTTGTTACCTAAACCTAACATATAATATAAATATAAAATTACATTATATATCAATATTAATAATATCCATAAAATAATTGCAAAATAAGAAATAATTTAAAAAGGAATACAAAATTAGTATGCTAATGAAAGCACAAAAAATAAAGAAAAAAGAAAATAATAATAAAAAAGCAAAAGGCATACCTCCACAAAAATTTCCAATGCCACCTAATGACATTCCACTTGAACCACCAGTTGAATTTAAAAATAATTCAATATATCTATGTGACATATGACTTTTGTCCTATAATAATATAATATATAATAGAAATGTTAAGATAGTAGTTGAAAGTTACAATGACAATTAAATTTAATTAACCTTGGACATGGCTTTAACAGCCTCTTCATGAGTTGCAAATTCCACATCAGCTTCTCCAGAAGGACGTCCACCATTTTCAAGAATAATTCGTACATTAACTGGTTCAATAGGTCTAAAGAACTAAAATTATACAATAAAATATCATTGAGAGAGAGAGAGAGAGAGAGGGTGGAGGGAGAGAGAAAGGGAGAGAAGTATTTAATGATTTAATCAATTTGAAACCTACATCAGCTATATCTTGTTCGGTAGCTTTAAATGGCAAACCACGCATGTGTATACTATGAATACCGGAATTACCACCCCATGTATCACCGCTACCTCTGAAATTTCCACCTTTCATATCCAAACCTCCTCTCATTCCCATATTTCCACCGCGTGAATCAAAATTATTACCGCTTCCCCATGGACCACCATCAAAATCTAAAATATCAAATATTGATAATACATAAAGAAAAAATTTAATATATAGTAATGCTTGTTTAATTGATATCAGTTGATCTGATGAGATTAGATTTAATTATAAAGATTCTGGAATTTTATATTTTATTCAAATCTATTGCAAATGAGAATGATAAACATTAAAGAAACAGATAACATAGTAACTCTTTTTATAAAAATATAAAGAATTAATAAACTCAGCATTAACTAAGCAGGAAAATTGTTAAACTTAAAAGTTAAAATTACATTAATTAAATATGCATTACTATAATTCTTACTTTTTATTTTAAATAATTAATAAATTGGTAATACCTCTATTTCTAGAACCTCTACTATTATTGCTGAAACGATTCATCCCTCCGAAACGGGAACCACGGTCATAAGGAGCAGGTCTCTGATTGAAACCTCCCATTGGTCCTCGCATTTTCGGACCAATACTAGCACGTACTTCAGATAAACTGCTTCGGAAGATTTCGATGTATCTGTTAAGATTGATATTATAATTATTATTATTTTCATATGAATATTATTGCCGTTCGTATAGTCGGCTGCCTTCTCAAATAAGAGAAAATTTGATGCAAAAATATCAACGAGCATAAGATTTTTAAACGAAGGAAGATATAAATAACGGTACGAATGTAAAATAAACCATTTTATACCGGTACTAATCAATTATTTATGTTTTATGTTTTAAACATTAAAAAAATATTAAAAATAAAAGGAAAAAAATGATAAATGGCTTATGGAAAAAATCCATATTGAAAATTTTGTAATGGATTAACTGTTCATACTACACCTCCGCATATTTATTAAACCTGTGTGTAGATACCCTCCCTCGGTGACATTGCATTTTGATATCACCATTATCCATTGAGATGCTGATGATCCTTAGGTATATGACAATTACAATTGCACTTTATGCAATAAGAGAAAAAGAGAAAGAAGAGATTAAATAATAAGTATCGAGAAGCGATACAAATAAAATAAAATGTTTTATATTCAGATACATATTATATTTTTATTAAAAAAAGAAAGGAAAAGAAAAAATCTAGAAAGCTAAAATAATTAAAAATAGCGCATTTTATTTTATATAATATAATGTAATATTTCCGTGCAATTAAAGAGCTATATGAATCAACTATACATAGTGATTTTTAGAAAAAAATTGTGCAAAGCCTTTTAATTTAAATTATTATATTGTTTTGCATAAAACGTACAATTGTGCAATTGTCGAACAGTTGTGCCAAATTAGATCGATGATTACTACCTCTGTAGCGCCCACCCATCCTGGGTTAGCCCTACCCACTTCCCATGGGATTTGGTGATGTAAGGGGGTACCTCCCGCCCGGCACCCACCCATAGGTTTTAGTTGGGCCAACAGTACTTTCGCTTACGTACGACTAACTTTTTTTTTGTTCAAAGAGAAGCAGTTTCCTTATTCGATTAATTTCTATATTAGCATATAAATAAAATAACGAATGTAATTTATAATATGTGTTTAAAATACA